CTTGAAGAAGTCATTCTCAAGATATTCTTATGAGTACTTAAAAATTTAAAATAATCACAAAACAAATTTATGCACTTTTGAGAAATGTTAATATTCTTGTGTATTGTCCACATTTGAAATAATTTCATTATTAATCTTAAAAATCTTTAAAATAATAATTATTTCATATGCCATTAAATATACCATCACAAAGAAATTTTTCTGCAACTTCGAAATTTAAAATTATATTCAAATTGATTTTTGCTGTATTATTGATGTCCCATTATTATCGCTGTTTCTTTAATAAAATCCGCTTTAATAATAGAAATCATAAAATATATCTCCTCTGCAATTTTAATATTTAAAATTATAATAAAATATGTGATGCGATTTTTGCTTCATCATTGATGTCTCATTATTATCGCTTCATTCTTTTTAATAAAATTCGCAATAATATTTTTTTATTATTTAATGTAATTCTTTTTTTATCTTCTATACACTATTTCATAATTATAACATAAGGTTTTTTCGAGTGCACTATATTATTATATTATCAAGATTCAAATTTTTGAAAAATATTATTGTGATCAAATTCTTACAAATATAACTATCCAATGGTGCCATTTAAATTTTTTAGTAGCAAAATTTTGAATGCTTTATTTCATTCTCAAAACTAATTCCAAATTAATAAATTTTAAAAATTTTATATGAAACTATGGAATCATATTGAAGCTGCATTACTTGAGATTTTTATGCTTGATAATTTTTTCTTCATATTAAAATATTTAATCTTCTCCTTGATTTTATAATCCAATTTTAAAATCAAGGTTCATCATTTATTCATCTTGTAGCCGACAATTTTGAAATTTCAAAAAATTCAATGGATTGGATAATTGTGCTATGATATTTATTTAATCATTGACTTTTGAAAAACGTAAGAGTTTTCAAATAACTTCACACTGAAAAATCCAATGGATCTAGATCAAGTTTTACGATCAATTTTTACGATCGATCCTCCGCGAAAGTTTACAAATAATTGAATTTTTGCATCGAAATCAATCTTGTTCTCAATAGATTTGCATCAATAAATTTTGCTTTAAGTCTGGTAATGACAATTTATGCTTGCTTAAGAATTAACTCATTCTTATATTTCTTTTATTATTTTTATAACTTATCTTTCATTCCATACTTCGTCATTTTATTTTATCATTTGATGAGATAATGATCTCTTAATGAGATAAAAATTATAAAAATTCATTCTATTTTTCTATTTAATTCTGCATATTTAGATTATGTCTACCAATTATAAATGATTAATATTAATATTATTAATATTATAATTATAAAAGAAATATTCGAACTGCATGCTATTACACAAAAATAAACTTTTTTATAATGATTTCCATTAATTTTTGTGCATATTTAGTCTATATTTATTGTAAATTGCCAAGTAATTCAAAGTCACTTTAATAATTAATAATTATTTTCGATTCCTTGGAGTCCACTCATCAATATTTCAATTTTATTCACTTATTCAGATATTTAGGTATTCCATTTATATTTATTAATTTCCCGATGTATTTGGATCTATATTTATAGATAATTATACTTCAATATAATTATTTAATGATTAATAATTATTTTCGATTCCCTGGACTCCATTCATAGATATTTCAATTTTATCTTTTATAAATTTCCATCTTTTATAAATTTCCAAACTTCCTGATTTTATCCCGATTGTATCCCGAACATTTTACCATAACTAAACCATAAATCAATTCAGTATTATTTATTTAATTATTTTCGATTTCCTCAAGTCATAGGTACTTCAATTCTGTCTTTTACAAATTTGCATTACCTTCCCAATTAATTTGAACGTGCCTGTAATTAAACAAGTAAATCAATATAGTTATTGAATGATAAATAATTATTTCAGATTCCACATAATTCATTCAGATATTTCAATATCGTCTTTTATAAATTTTCATTACCTTTTTCCTAATTAATTTGAATTATGTCTATAATTAGACAAGTAAATTAATATAATTATTCAATGACTAATGATTCCCTGTAGTCCACTCAAAGATATTTCAATTTTGTTTTTTATAAATTTACATTACTTTCCCAAATATATAATTAAATATATATAACTAAATCAATATATTATTGAATGATCAATAATTATTTTAGATTCCCTATACTTCATTGATTAAATATATAGATATTTCAATATCGTCTTTTATAAATTTTTATTAATTTGAACGTGTTTATAATTAGATAATTAATATAATTATTTAATAATTGATAATTATTTTTGATTTCCCATTGTTTACTTGGCTAATGTAATTTATTCCAATTCCATTTTCTAAATATACATTAACTTCTTGACGTATTTGACCTATAACTTGACTAGACAAGTAATTATTTAATTATTTATCAATAATTATTTTAGATTCCCTGTATTTTATTGATTAAATATATAGATATTTCAAAATCATCTTTTATAAATTTCCATTAATTTAAATGTGTTTATAATTATATAATTAATATAATTATTCAATAATTGATAATTATTTTTGATTTCCCATTGTTTACTTGGCTA